TACGTGCTCATTCTTTCGATCGAGCCCATTTTAATGCCTCCTCGAGAATGATACAGTACGGTGAACACCGATGGAGAAACGGTGTTCGTGACTAAGCAGCGAGCATTACCGATTCGTACTGTTTGTTGGGATCGGTCTACACCTGTCTCGTCCTAGATCTTTCGACTTTTTTTCCACGCCAATCCTTTATTTTGATCGCATGCTCAGACACCGATACATTTATACGTGTTTGCGACAGCAAGTGTTAACATCGTGGTTTGCGTGCTAATAAGAACCTTTTCGTCATCTTTCAATCTACAAAAAGATAAACATTCGTACAAACAACGAATAGAGAATTTCAAACACTGAAACGTGGATCATATTTCACAATTAGGTACTATGTTAGCATTTAAAAAATTACATTTTTTGAACTTACATGAAACCTTTGTAATTTCATTCTTGTTTTTGTATTAATTGTGACACAATTTAAGGTAATATTTTCTCTATTCATAAGGATAGATAAGTCTTTTATTTATTCTAGAGGTTGTTAAGTGATCAGTGTTTCGTGATTTGTGTACAGAAGAGTTCGTAATGCATGTCAATTTTCGTCCATTAGATAAGCCATACAAATTGTCGTTGTCGTAGGAAATCGGTTGTCCATCGAGTTACACAATGAAATTATTAGTTGCATGCAAATCTGATGGACGCAACACTCGACGGAATAATCACTGTTGCGTCAGGCACTGTCTTCCCGATCGATGATTCGCAAACACAGAGCTGGTTACGTAAAATTTTCTCAGCTTTCATGTCGAAAACAATGGTCGCATTCAAACCAACGACGAAAAAGGATAATCACAATTTAACGTTTCAAAAACGTAGAACACAATACGGTAGAACCACGATTATGTAAATTTTATAAATTAAAATGTATTTGTTACAATCAGCTGCATCAAAGATAGAAAAAAGAAACCAAAGACAAAGAATATACTTTGATAACAGACATAGTCTTTTAATCTAAAGAATTTTTTTTAATTGCGTAGTATATACAATAAAACTTGAACATCAAAACGCTGCTAAATATTTCTCTTGCATTAAACATTCACTTTCACGTGAAAACATTCTCTTCTAGTTCATATACTAGAGTGATTCATAAATATTGATTCATGAATACACGTATCAGGCTATGCGAAGTGTATCAATAATTATGTATCACCGTAGTACGGTAACATACAAGAATAAAATATAAGAAAATAGTAAATCTGAACTACATATGTCGCTCTCAATGAAAGCGCGATTAAAACCGTAATTAGACAATGAGTAAAAATAGCGGACAACGAAAAAATTGTTAAAATATTCCCAGGTCGCGTTATTTAGTAGAAAGTTTAAAGAAATCGTCGAAAAATGAATCCGATTTTTTTCTTCACGTTGTCTATTCGAAAGCCTTAGGGGACCATAACAAATGAGTCTAACAACGCGTGAAATTTCAAAAAGCAGGTGACTCGAAATTCCAATCGAAAGGTACGAAGTCGGGCCGCTTCGCCGTGAAATCGTCGTGATTTAACAAGAGAGGAGGTCACAGCGGAGCCCGACAACGTCTCCATTTGCTTTGCTAATTCCTCGATCGAGATAATCGTCCGGTAGTCGAGTAACTCCCGGAACTCGAAAGTAAAAGCGTTGGCGCGGCGAAACGTTGTGCAAAGCGAATCGCGAAACGATTCCTCGGAGCCCTTTTTTCCTGGGGAAAAAGCCCGCGGAAAATTCATTTAACCCGCGATAACGTTAAACGTCCTCGCTTTAGAAGTTTTTGCAATGGTGGCCGCAGTTGCGTCAAGAGGTTATCGTTCCGTGACACCGCGGAACTAAATCGAAGGAAAAATCGAGCGAACCTACGGCGAAATAATGTGATTTAATAAGGGAAATGTGTGCAACGGCGTTACACGTCACCTTGCAGCTCGATCTAGAGATCGTGATTCCGAAGGCAATTACTTTTTTAATCCATCTGGAAGTCGTTTTTCATGGATAAGTTTAGATTAGAATTTATTGCATCGAGCTACGGAAATTTATTTCACAAATGGGAGAATCTGATTGTGTTTGTGAAAAGGTTGTTAGAAATACTATTATTACTGTTGTTTATGTATCAGAATTACAGTTGAAGGTGCTGCTTAAATTTCATATCTTTTTTCTATGTTGAATTTCCGGTCGATGCGTTTTTTACTGGAAGTACATATCCTCGTTTGTGGCAGTCCAATATACAGTAATACCAGCCAAAAATATGGGACCAGATATGATAATTAAAGAAAGAGAAAAATATTATAACAAAGATTTGATAAAAGGTAATATTCTAAAACTGGTTGGAAATGATTTGTATGTCTACTGATTCCGTAACTTTTATTATATTACAACAGAAAAATGAGTTACTGTTCCATCAATCATGAACTCTTTTCCCACAATATTGACCTGTAATGTATATTCAGATTTATGTTTGTTTTATGTTGTGTGTTGATTTTTGCTTGTAATAAGTGAAAATTAAGAGTTAGATTCTCATAATAGATAGATATAAATTAGTCTTGATTCTTATAATAGCTACCTTTCGTAAGTTTTTTTATTTATCTTTAAAAGATCACGAATCAATATGTCGTGAATTCTTCTAACAATGGACTGAAGATAATGATGGGAGCATAGACGACAGGATATAATGTTCAATGAAATATAATATATGTAAATTGTCTTAAAAGACAATTCATGACAACGAAGATTGGATTTCGAGCTAATGAATTGTTTACGCTATTCAAGTAGAATGTCATATCTTCGTGAGGTTACATACGGTGAGAGCCAAAACTAAGTATACAAAGCTTACGAAGGTGAGGTTCGTGGAATACTTCTGTAGCATCTTGCTATTGTAATCTCATGGCCGTAAGTTTAATGTGATTTTCTTAACAATGTCGGGATGAATAGACAGCCAAAAAATTCGAAACTATAGCCAAAACATTTCGCAAATATCGTCAAACATGGCGAATGTACTATTACAGTTTGGGGCAGCATGGCAACCTGTGGTGTAGGTCAGTTAGTCATACCCAAGTTTTGATAGTTAAACATTTTAAAATCAAATTCAACTGCAAGTACATTCGTGAGTCTTGAGATCGTGACCCAAAATAGACAGCGAAAATGGTTAAAAATTGTTTGCTGAAAAACATTTTCAATCAATTAAGTCCTCTTCCTTAGTCACCAGGTCTCAATGTAATAGAGTATCTATACGAGATATTAGATTTAAAATTGAGGGAAATAAATATGAATGAATCCCATACTTTTACAGTGTTTACTTACTTTTGACTCTCATTGTAGATGGTCTCGGAACAATGTTAATTACCGATCACATTATCAGCGCATGAACCATCCAAGTGTGCGACTGTATTCCGAGCGAGCCTTTTAAACGACAAAACGTCGGGAGCAGGAAGACGCGTTTGGATTAGCATACAAATAAATTTCATGATTGTGTAGAAAAGAGGCGTTAGAAATCCTTTCAAGGTCCGACTTTCTAATTCCTCTGAAGTTTTCGTCGTTCCTTGCGATCGCTGTATCATAACGTGCCGGTTTCGCAGGGTTACAAATTGGTCCGCGGCGAGAAAAAAATGTCCCTAAAGCGTGTGACTTTTATTACGTAAAGCACACGAAGGGGTCAAAATAGCAGTCATTCGTGACTTAATGGCCGCGCGAGCCGGTTTGAGAGTGAAATATTAAGAAAGATTGCGTTTCGCCGACGAAAGTTGCTGTAATTTTCGTTCTTTCTTTATTAAACTCGTAATTTTATCCTACCTTGATACTCTGTTAACCTGCAAAATATCCCGTAAGAGGGAGATAATCACTTCCCGTGACCATTAACTCCGTACGAAACGAGCTCGGTACACCAGACTGCGGATATTTGCGCAAACGTACCTGTTTCCGAACTAATGTACACATGCATAGACTGAATCAATACTCTGTACGTTGACGTAGACATTTTCTATAACAACGAATTTCCTATTACAAGAATTATACTTTATTGATTCGTTACTACATAACCCTTTGAACTCCTTTGCCGAGTGTGACTCGACATCAAATTCATTCACAAATACTTCTGTGTCGTATCACACTCGATATTTTTAAATTGTCTGTTTCAATATGTATTATATTTCACAATATTATTTGTACTTAGGTACGCAATGTACATGTATATGATTTTTATTGTAACAGAAAAGGAGTTATGATGTAAATAAGGAGTTATACTGGAAAGAAAATTGAAAAAGAATTATGAGTGAAAGGGTTAATACGTACAAGTACTTAAACCTGTTTGTCGGATTCAGAGTCTCGTAAGAACAACTCGCTGCTCAGAAACTTGTTTTCCCTGTTAAGGGATTCATTAGCACAAACGTGGAGCAGACATAATTAACAGTAGAACTACCGAACCCGTGAAAATGACGGACTGTGGAATGTTTATCTTACGATTAGTGAAATTGTAATAATGCTTTTGGTGGAATTTACGTTATCAATTTATTATTTTCAATTTAACTTTCTATACCTTCAACACTGATAGTCACAGTATTAAAGCCTCTATTCAATCATACACCATGCATAAATATTGTGTTTCGCCTCAATAGACAAACTTCACAATTTCTGTAATGACAAAATGGAGCAGAATCTTGAGTACACAGTTCTATACACACTTGCATCAATTGTGTAAATTCTCGTCGACTAATTTTCTCTCGTCGACCATTAATCTGTCGCCACACGCACGCAGCAGTTCAACCAGCAATTTCAATCGTGTACGAGCCATTAAAAGGCCGACACCCCGTGACGCACATTCTCTGCCAGTGACATTTATGACAAGAGGCCAACCGCCGTAGATCGTATCGTGCCTCGGAAGTTTTTCGTCGCGCGTCACGAGTCGTCGTTAATCGGCGACGAAACGTCGAACACCGAACGCGTTCGCAATTAATCGTCCATGGTGGACTCGACTGACGAACCTGTTACTATTTCGTTTCCAGCAGGAGCCGAGGCCGGAACTGGACGTCAGCAACGGTAGCAGCAACGGCGGACGACCGAGATTCGTTCCTGTGACGGCGCTGGAAGATGTTCAGGCGGTTCGATGCGCGGAGTTCCACCCCCACGGGAAATTGTACGCCGTGGGATCGAATTCGAAGACCCTCAGAATATGCTCGTATCCAAAGCTCCACGATGTCAGGTAAGACAGAGATTTTTTTGGAAAAATTATTCTGTGTTATTCTAAGGTCCTTTATTATTGGGGTATTCATTGTTAGTATTTGTTTAGTATACTCTTGGTAGCTTAATTGCTAGTTCTGGAGGTAGTATACTTTTATTAGTATAGTTCTATGATTCTATTAGTATCTGGGTAGTAGAGTAAATCCTCGATGAGTGTTTGGAGAGTCCTCGGCTGTGAATGTTAAATATTTCATGAACAAATGGCTATATGCGCCTGAAATAAATTTAATTGGGTTTACAATTCCAAGCTTTATCTCATTAAAAAGTCATGTGTTACACCGGGGACCTCTTCTTGTTAGCGCCGACGAGCCTTCGAGCACTCATCGAGGATTTACTGTATCTTCCTTTTAGCTTAATTACTGATTCTAGGGGTAGTAAACTTCGATTAGTATAGTTCTAGGATTTAGTATCTGTGTAGTATACTTCCTTCTATTCCTTACTCCATAGTCTTTAGTGTTTGGTATACTACTGTCTATTCTTTGTTCTGTATACAAATCAGCAATGAAAGTATTGGGACAATAGAAGTCTTATAGGACTCACTGTGTACATATACAGGGTGTCATGTAACTGGTGGTACAACCGAGTAAAGGGTTTTTCTACGTGAAAAAATATGTCAAAAGTATAGAATACAATTTCATGATTTGAGATTTCGTTTTCGAAATAATCGAATTTAAAAATCCACTGGATACGCGTGCAGTTGAATAGGATTAGGTTAATGCGTTTGTTCATTGCCTTCTATTTCTACTTACTACTCCAATAAATACTTGCAAACCTACCCGATGAAATTTCTCAGTTAATTTTCTCGAAAACGAAGTGTCAATTGAAATTCTATATTTTCTAATGTTATTCTATATTTTCGACTTATTTTTTCACGTAGAATTCTTCCTACCCGGTTGTATCACCAGTTATATTATACTCTGTATAAAAATCATGAGTAAAGAAATGAAGTAATATTACAGATAATTAACTATAATCGTGTAAATTGAATCCTGTTGTTCCAATATACTCGTTACGTATTGTATTATTACTTTATTACTCATTGCTGTCTAATCGGTTTTTAGTATTTTTTAATCTGATTGTGCTACTTTTTACTAGTTACCTTTCTCAATATTATTTATGCCCATTTTTGTAAATTTACTGTCGAATTTTTATTCAAATTAACTTATTTATACATGAAATGGAAATCAAATGGAAATCAGCTATACTATAAATCAAATCGTATAGGAATCCAAAACGGAACAGGTAATTAGAGGTGAACTTGGAGCACGTTATAATGTACATGCATAATTGAATTCCTTTACATCCTACTTTTCTACTCTGTATCGTATGTAGTCTATTCTATTTATATATTGTCTATCGTAATCTCGAGCGAAACAATTTATTCCCGCGATTCGATCGAGTCACACTCATAATTTATAATTTCTCGGCCGTGCAAACGCGAAAACAGTCTCCACGGCAGCTTTCCGCCTTTTGATCTGGGTCGATCTTGTCGGAATCATATGAAAGCGTATCTTAGCGGCTGCCCAGGACGTTTTTTGCGATTCTCATCGATGATCTGCGCGAAAGGAACAGCCAGAAACCTGAACTGCTCACGATTTAATACAGTAGGCGTGGGATGGCTTTGTAGATTGATAACAAATGATTGATAAATGATAAATTGTAGATTTCTACATCCTTTCCGTTAGATTTTGTTCGTAGAACTTTCGATTCCGAAATTTACTTCGATTTTGTAGATCGATTTCAATCGAAGGAGAGTGATGATCGTCCTTGATGCAACAGAATTCATATATTTTTGCAATCGTTACTCAATCCTTAGCGATTCCAATTACGTTTCATCGTTTCACAGTGGATTCTTTTCACCTTGTAGCAGGGAAGTCATAAATTAAAAGAGAAATTTAATTAACTTCAAAATAACATTACCAAGAGTTAACGATTTCAGTAAACAAAAGTGCAGGACGATATACAATCTCAATACAATACAATGTATACAATGTGTAAAAAGTCACTTCCGTAGTTTCATATTATTGACACTGAAGCAATTGAAGGATAAGACCCGTAAAACTGCAGTGCAGATAACGATAGTAAAAAGTATGAAGTAAGAACAAGGTGATTGTGATGTAATAGCATAGCACCTCGTTGGTTCAATTTATGGTATAGAAAACTCGATAAAATCTTGGCAGCGGTAAAATCGGTAACAGCAGTCTAAAACAATGTCTACAGTGGGTAATGAATCGACAGAAAATATTGATAAAGAAAACGATAAAAAGTATAAGGTCCAGAGAAGCAATTATGCAATAAAAAATTAGTGAAACAAATTTAAATTGTATTGTGGTACACGGAAAACAGTAACGAAATAAGAAAATGAAGTAGTAAGCATTAAGTAAAGACTGGAAAAGAACGAATAATGGAGTAGATAATTAAATACAATACTATTTTCTCTATGTTTCTTTAATTTTTATCGCTCCATATTTTGAATTTTAAGTTTGCGTTTACATAGCCTTTTGTCTCTCATGATCTAATTTTCTTTCGTCGATCGATCATTAATCTGACGCCACACGCGCGCAGCAGTTCAACCAAAAATCGTGTATAAGCCATTAAAATAAAACCAACAAAGCCATTAACGCCTCGAAACTCCTCTAATCGATCGCGTTTCTCGAATGAAATCCCATTTCGCGATCCGCATCGAATTTGCTTACACCTCAATTACAAGGATTCTCATTAACGATCCAGAATTCTAGAAGAACAAGCCTATGTACGTAACACTGAGAAAGTAGCTTCGGATCAAGCGAGTACAAAATATTTTGAATCGAGTTTCCAGTATCTCTCGTTTAATATGCCGACGATGATGAATGACATCCTGCTCACGTGGTATGATGATCGTTTCAGGGGGAGTTAATTGAGCCCACGTAGCATTTCGTGGCTCCGAAACGTAAAGATCGCGAAGTGAAATCCGTCGAATTTACATTTACGAGATAGAAAAACAAGATCGAGAGACAGGCGGATACGTGCTAGAAAATAATGTGGAAGAAACCGTAAATTCCGTGTAGGCGATAAAACGTTCTTGTCGTTATTAACGAGCGCGCTGGGACGATTCTATCTCCTCGGCTATTAAGTCAGTCGTCTCCCGATACGTAGGATCGATTCATGTCAGTTGTAAACGTCAGACGAGAAACAATTAATTGTCATTTGGAAGTAATAAAATCAAAATTAGTCACTTTTGACATTTTCATTGTACAAAAGGAATTATTCGAGAAAATGTGATTTTCTTATATTCATTATAAAGAAGTCTTTACTTGAATGTTCATCTAAACATAGATTTGCAATGATATACTACCTAAATATAATAACCATCGAAACTTCATTTTACATTGATTTGATAACTAAAAGATCGAGCCTCGAATCCTCCAAATTATACATTTAGCAAAAGAATACTCCGAGGACCGAAAGTTTTGTTAAACGAATACATATTTTTAGAACAATATACAGCCTGTTAATAAAAATGTGGGACACACTTTGTCCTAGCGAAACTAATGAACGAAATAGAACGAAATAAATGAAACCCACTCGTGAAAAAGACCGCGCCTCAAGTAAAATGATCCCCCACGTAAAACGTATTTTTAGACTACAGGTTTTTATGTACAATGATATTTTCTACGGTAATTCATGAACACAATATTATATTTTATCGTGTTCAGAATAAAATAGGAAACTCATTGGGTCTACTGACAGTTTTGTCTTTTATTGTATGTCATTAATCCCTGTACCCTGAAAATGCATAAAATCCACAGTCTACGTATTTCACGTGTATTTCGTCCGTATATCCAACAATTAATAGCCCAGAAACAAGCCTCGAACGTTTGTTTTGATTTTCGCCATAATTTGGCATGTAGAATTTATCATGTGAAAGTGTCCCAGATTTTTATTAACATCCTGTAGATAAGATAATGCTTTAAATATAGCCTCCTCCAGGTACATCAAGAACCACCGATGAAGAATGGACGATACTTCGCGTTAAATCGTTTTTCGTGGTCGATCCTTTGCGATAACCGACGGATTATTTACGGTCCTCTTTGCCAGTCGCGAGGCGCGGCCGTAGGAGACGCTCTTAAATTTCCGTCGAGCAGACTAATTTTACGCGAGCCTGCTGACTTAACGAACGGCGGAGGCCTTCATACCAAACGGAGCATTCCGGGATGCTCGACCAGCGTGCGCAAGGATTCTTTTATTGCCCGCCACTGCGATTCCACGATACCATCGTTCTCTTTGTTATCTCGAACAGGTTTCGGATAGTGTTAACGCCTGGGCTCGCGTGAGCTCGTCATCCGTTTGGTGAACGCACCTTAACAGGGCCATTATTTCACCTGACGAGCGAAGCAACGTCCCCTCGTGATACGCGATAAGCGACGAATGTTAATGGAACCGGTAGATAAACGCCATTCTTACAATTAGTCAAATTTAAAGTGATTTTTGAGAAACTTTGGAGGAAAACCACTTTAGCACGTTTAGTGTATTTTTTGAGATTGTGTTGGTTAACGGCGGTGCCTGGGCCCAGATGGACCCTAGTTTTCAAAAGATCGATTTAATTCGGTTACTTGTACAGTACAGAAGATATTTATTTGTTTCCATTCCGAGGACGATTTTTCTTTACTTTCTACATCGGATGGAATGCGTTAAGAGTAGGGATGAACCAATTCAAGTAAATACAAGTAAATAACTGATACTTTCGTTTCAATCGCGAGTATTTTTAGTATCGGTATTTACGGTTGCGGTATATACTCGGTATCGAAAAGGGGTACTCATATCGAATGGAGTGAGTAATCGATATCAAAGTTAATGAATGTGAAGTTGGTTGTCGTCCAGTTATATTATTTTGTTAATAAATGTTCATTAATAAAATATATCTTCGTTAAAATCGGAGATGAGCAAATTCATTACGCAGACAAAGAGTTTCGAATAACGAGT